CTCCCGGCAGTGGTGGCTCCACGTCGTGGAACAGACCTTCAGGCTCTCGGGCGTGCGCGAGGACAGAGTCCTAACGCTGATGGCGGAAAACCTCTACCGTGACTTCTGCAGCGCCCGTAACTGGGAGGTGCTGCCGGGAGCCGTCGAGACTCTGAGCCGGTGCCGCCAGCGCGGCTTCTGCATGGGGGTGGTCTCCAACTTCGATAACCGGCTGGAAAACGTCCTCCGCCAGTGCAACCTGCGGCACCACTTTGAATTCGTCCTCACCTCCGAGGATGCAGGCTTCGCCAAGCCGGATGGGAGGATCTTCGAGAAAGCCCTGCGCCTCGGCGGGGTCCCCCCGGAGCAGGCGGCTCACATCGGGGATGACCACACCCGGGATTACAGGGCAGCCCGCACCGTGGGCATGCACAGCTTCCTGCTCCGGGCTGCGGGCCAGGACAAGGAGCCGGAGGTGCCCCCCGAGCACGTCCTGCCCGCGCTCGACCACCTCCTGGCTCTTATTGAGAGGGGGTAGCTGTGTTTCAGAGGAGGACCCGCGCCACTGCGGAGCGGTGAACTGGTCCTGGCGTGGGATTTCTTGCTGCCCGTTGGGCAGGGACAAGAAGCGAGCGCTTCTGAGCGCAGGGAGCAGCGCTGCCCGCAGAGCAGGGGGGGTGTTCATGCAGTAAAACGTATCTGAGGCTCAGCGTTGCTGCTGCTTTCATCGTTCTAAAACCGCTACGGAAGAGGGTCAGCGGTGGTGTCCCCCCCAGCAGAGCTGGGGATGGGGTGAAGCTGCGCTCCAGAAGGCTCATTCTGGGGGGAGGGACAGCCAGCATTCCCCTCTGCCCGACAGCGACGATGGGAGGCAGTCGCATCCCTCTGCTGGGGGCAAAACAGTCTGGATTGCGGGAATTGAACTTAACCTACTGTCAATTAACATCAACTTTGCAGTACTGATTTTGGTAGTGAGAAATAAAGAAGAGAAATTTTAAACAGTTAAGGAAACACCTTTCCTGCTCTTCTCCCTGGTTCCGTTTCAGGCCAACACCTCTCCTTCCTCCCTAACACCACCTCCCCGTGTTTCTGCCACGTTACACTCCCTTTGGCGAGGCAGGGAACAGCCCAGACAAGGTTTCTTTCTGCTGCCCTTTGCTTCTTACTCCTCTGCTCTGGCATGGGCTCCTCCACGGGCCACAGCCCCTCAGGGGTGCCCTGGCGTGGGTCCCCCGTGGGTGACAGCCTCCCGCAGTGTCCCTGCTCCTCCCAAAAGTGCCATAATCCTCCCAAAAGTGCCATAAAACACGTGAAAAACAGAAGTAGTTTGAAGGCAGGTCTTGTCTGAATGCCACTGTACACGAGCTGGTAGCCCTGTCTGGGCTCCCTTCCCCCAAGAAGGTACTGTATAGTGTATATACAGTCACCGTATATACAATTGTATATTCACCCCTGCAGTGAGCGCAATGCTTCGCTCACCGGACAAGCGAGATGTTCTGGTGCGCCACAGCGAAGACGGGATAGAGGGGCTCCGCAAAGGTCTCCCTGTGGGAGAAGAGGATGGCGCAGGAATCGGGGTCGTAAAAGAGCACCTCCCCTCCCGCAAAGTCAACCAGCACCCCGATCTCGGCCGGAGATCTGATCAGCTCCACCACCTGCGGGTGCCCGGCGTGCAAGAACTTGAACTCCTTGTCATAGCGCGAGAAGACCCAGGAAGCGGTGTTGAAACCCAGGCGGGCTTCGTTGCCAGACCCCTTCCGTGGCAGGGAGCTGTAGCAAACCCCCAGCTTGTAGGCACAGCTCTTCTCCACGCTGATCTTCCACGCGCAGACTCCCGAGTGGAAAGGCGCAGTAGCCAAAGCATTGGGCCAGTGGTCAAACCGCTCGGGGCAGTCCAAGTCCACCTTTGCTTTCTTGGGGCTGAAGGTCAGGGTTTTCTTGTCCTCCGACAGGCTGAGGTGGGGGCTGATGGTTTTCTCATCGATGTGAATCTCCCGTGAGCCTGCAAGAGAAGCCACACGGTGAGCAGCAACTCGGTGGCCCTTGCCTGAAGTCACAGCCATCAGAAACACAATCTGTTCCCTGGGGTGACACGGTGTTGGGGGCTCCAGCTGGGGCTGGGTGCCAGCACAGCAGCTCCCCGCTGCTTCCCCTGTCAAGCCGGGGCCAGAACAATGCAGAGGCTCATCAAAGCCACCAGTCAAGTTCACCAGACACGTGCAGAGTCAGAGAAGATGCTGCTCATATTGCTTTGACCCTGGCCCAAATCCCCCCAAAACAGAACTCGGCAGGTTCGGTTCATCCCGCTTTTCGGAGAGACCCAAATCCGAGCCCCGTCCCTTCCCACCCCCACTGCGGGTGAGCAGGACCCGACTTCTCCTCCCCCGGCCGCAAGAATGCAGGGCTGTTTGCAGAAAACCTGTACAGCCGGTAATACCGGACCGAGGAGGAACTGCGAGGGCTGGGCAGGGGAAATCCCTTTCCCCCTATACAGCCCAAGTGAAGAATCAACCCACCCTGAGCCCCTTCGGAGCAGCCGCGGGAGGTGGCACCAGGCACGAGACGAGCACGGCCACGACTGCCCGTGGTTTCGCTGTGAATTAAGGGGCTGCCCTTATGCCACAGCACAAACCCAGCGAGCCGCAGCCCGGGGTGAGAGCTGCTGGGGTTCTGCTCCACTTCAGACCCGCGGGCTGACAGCACCCAGCACCGCTCACCATGCCCTGACTGCACCCCCCCAGGCCCCTCTCTGCAGACCGGTGCGAGTGCTGAATAACTGCGCAAGTGTTTCCCTCGCTCCTTCAATTTGCCAAGCAAAGAGACGAGGCTGATGCCCAGGTGACTCAGCTGCTCCCAGGGACAGCGAGTTTCTGCCTGCGGGTGCCCCTCCTTGCCCTGCCTTCCCCCACCCTCACTTCATTCATTTTAGGGCTTAAACCCCCACGGAAGCAGGTGAGTCATTTGCTCCCCCAGCCCTGCCGCCAACAAGAGCTGCACCGTATCGTGCCTGCTCCGGCCATTTCCCAACCGCCCTCAGCACGCGGCAGGATGAGGCCCTTAAAGAATCAAACCATTATGCCGCACCCTGAATGCGCTCGTCCCAGAGCCTGACCTGCTCCGGCACCTACGCGGACCCAGGTCAGCATCCCCCTGACCGGCGAGCGGCACCGAACAGCAGCAGCGCCGGCCGAGGGCTTTCCTAGGGCTGCACCTGCCCTGCTGCTCCCCGGCAGGAGACGAACCGAGGCTGAGTTAGCAGTTTGCACAACGTGGAAGTGCCACGCACGCTTGCACGTTAGGTGGAAGCTATTGCAGGCAGCAGCGAGCAGAGAGAGAAGCTGAGGAGAGCATCCCCTTCTAGCTGAAGCAGAGAACCTCATTCGTTTGACGATTTATTTCCCTGAGCTTTGCAGCACGCCTGCCCGCCACGCTGTGCCCTCCGTAGGTCTCTGCAGCTGTACCTGCCCACGCTGCCTATTCATAGGTTGACTTTCCAGGAAGCCAAACACTGCTATGAATTCATAGAAAACGGAGCAGTACGAGACTTCACCTTCCCCTGACAGAAGAAGGGCACTAAACCTCATATTGTGCAACACACATCTCAGCTGGGTGCGGGGTTGCATTCTGGTGTTCCTGTACAGGGATCATCTGCACGAGGAAGTACCACCCCGCTGACACCCACGTGGCGTCGTGGTGGAATTACGATGACAGGAGCATCTGAGGGAGGGGAAGCGCTCGCAGAGTAGCAGTAGAGTAATTCAGATCAGCAAATTTTCCCACACAGAGAAGTGTTCTGTCATAATTAAACCTGCCCTCCAGACACTCCTGTATATTCTGATGAACAATTCCACCAGGAATTCATCTCACCCCAAAATCTATTTTCTCTGTATACAGTACCCTTGGAGTGGCCTTGACCTTAGAGACACAAGGGATGCTGAGTCGGTAAGTTAACACGGTTAACATCTCTGTCAAGTACCTATGTGTTAGCTGCAGCACAGTTTACTACTTTTAAAAATCCAAGTTCCCGTTTCCAAACTCCCACATCTCAAATTAAAATCCTTGTAGCTTGATTTAGGCAGCAAGGTGGAACCCAGCCCCAGCCTGGTCCCCGGCGTAGAAGCTCACCGCGGAGCAGCCCAACGTTTCAGCCAGCTGGGAGGGCTCCAGTCTGTGACAGCCCTGCAGAGGGACCTCCATCGGGCCGCCAGCCAGCACCGCCACTTACCTGCGCCCCGGCAGGACTAACACGGGTGGCCGTGAACCGAGATCCCTCCCAGAACGGTGCCAGGAGGTTTATAGCATCTCTTGGTTTAAGAAAGAAGCTGCCAACCCCAAACGTACGTGATACACAAGCCTGGATGCCAAGTGAAGACATCAAAGGAACCGTGTTTATTTTTGAGAGTGAAATGGAGGTTCTTTTCCCTGCTGGTTTCCAAGTTTTTGAGAGGCTACGGGGCAAACCATCAAGGCTAGGAATTCCTGTTTTCACACAAATAAACAAGACTGCTACCGTTCAACTGCCTTTGGGAGGAGGGACCACCAAGTGAAACATAACGTTACTGTGTCTTAACGGAAGCTAGGACCACTGCAGTTAATATCGAATCTCTAAGGCCGGGTCTTGGGCACACTATGGACTAGTGAGATAAGCAAGGATATGGCAGGCATCCTCAGCACGCAATAATGACGTGTTAAATGTGACCACAAAAACCCAAACCAGAGTGTGATGCTAGCACCAACAGACCCGCGACTAGGATCGGTTGCTTTAGAGTCACTACATTTGACAAGGATGCTATTGGGAAAGGAATCCATAAAAAAACCATGTCACAACAAAAGAGAATTAGGGGAAGGTTTCCTGCACAACATGACAGCTCTGAGCATCTGCTGAGAGCCTGCTCAACTTTGCCAGAGTACAACTGCAGGAGCGTGCACGGCTGCCAGCACTCAAAGACTCAGAACAGAGGGAAATTAATCACAAAGAGCAACACCAGAGTCTGCAGTGGAAGAAACAAACGACGGTGGTGTCCGGCACGCGCAGATTCTCAAGCTAATACTGGAAAGCACAAGAGCAATAAAAGCCAGAAGCACGTTCCTTGGGGAGGGACCTGGAAACGGGGAAAAACTGTGAACCCCTCATCAGCATTGAGAGAGAGAAAAGCAAAACCCAAAGGTTAATGCAAAAGCTTTGGGAAGGTGACCCCAGGGACTGCTCATGAGGCGGCACATGAGACAAACGTTTTCCAGTTGTGAAGGACGTTGCCACCTTTGAGGAACAAAAAATATGTTTGAAATGCTCTAAGGGTGGCCTGGAAGCCAGAGTAAAAGCAAAGATTTCACAACCAGCAATTCACGCAGATCACTGCCGGAAGAACATCTCTCCCTGCTCACCAGAGCTGACACCAACCTGGTAAAACCGTTCCCAGAGCACGCCGCTGGCCTGACAGACGCCTCCGATGCAACCTCAGCTGCACAGCGAGAGCTGAACCAGATCACAAACGTCTCGAACAAACCACCAGCTCGTGCACAGCCACAATCTCGGCT